TGTTGAGAATGGGTTTTGGAGGGAGGGTGGTGGGATGGGTGAGGACATTGTATGCTGATGCATCGATGAGAGTACAGGGGAGGGGTTTGAGGCAGGGGTGTCCGCTCTCCTAAATACTCTTTGCATGTACGCAGAATCCTTTCTATGTTCTGGTTGATGGTGGGACAGGAAGGATGGGGGAGAGTGGAGGCTTTTGTGGGAATATTGTGGGCTATGTAGATGATACAACTGTTTTACTTAATGAGATAGAAGATTTAAGTAAAGTGGGAAGGGTACTTGAGATTTTTGGGAATGCTACTGGGATGAGAGTTAATAAGCCGAAATCACGGTTGCTGGAGGTAGGCGCTTGGGTAGGCTGGACCTTGGGAGAGGAGTTTGGCTGGATTTGTGGGATTTTGTATTTGGCAGATGCACAGGAGAGCAGGAGAGTTAATTCAGAAATGGTATTGGACAGAGCTTTGAGTAGGCTTAGGAGTTTCGGGGCCGGGGACGTAACCTTGCATCAAAGGGTTGTGGTGGTAAATACACTAATTTATAGTAAGGTGTGGGGAGTGGCGGAAATTTATCCCTTACGAAGTTAGGATATTATGGAATTACAAAGGAGAGTATTAAGGTATGTGTGGGGTTTTGGGCAAAGATGTGGTAATGACTGCGGTAAGACAGGGAAGATTGGGACTGATGGCATTAGGATCTAGGGTGAAGGCGCTATATGTTAAGCAGAGGTATATTCAGGCAGGGGGGGAAAAGGGGTCTTCGAGTGGGGGAGGTGATGGGGGATGTCTGCAAATGGTGGAGTGGCAGGGACTTAGTGGAGTGTGAAGATATGCTGAGGTTTATGATAAAGGTTCGCAATGTTAAAAAACTCAAGGTAAAACGGTTGGTGGGAGTGAGTCGTCGTCAGGAATCACTGCAGGGGTTGGCAGTGTATCTCACATATGATTGGCGAGTGATATGGGTGGAATTTAGTAAACTAAGAATACAGGCAAGAGTGAGGGAATTAGTATATAGATTTCTTACGGGGACTTTGGCATTGAAGGAGGTGCTAAGACAAATGGGTTTTGTGAGAGAGGTGTCATGTGGTTTTTGTGGGGAAGTTGAAACTGCTTTCCATGTAGTATATTTTTGTTCTGCTTTGGAGGTGGTAAGATTGTGGTTGAAGAGGGTTTTCCTTTTATTGGGGGGGGGTCAGATATCACCCCTTAGGGCTTTAATGTTAGATATGGGAGGGGTGCCCAACGTGGTGGGGAGGGCTATCAGATACGTAATAGTTGATTACTTGTATGTCTCTTGGGGGATGAAGGAGGTGGAGGAAAGCATTAAGATAAAAGCGTTGGCAGCGTGTTTTTATAGGACAGCGTGTAGGAACAAACAATTATATGGGGAACGGTGGGTAACTAGTTTTCCGGAGGGATATCGTGGACTTACTGTTGCACGTTTACTCCGCTTGGTGACGGGGTGAGGAGGCAAGGGGTTGGTCTCTTCAGTGGTGTGTCCTCTTGGAGTGATTGGATGCCTGATGAGGAAGGTTGACTGGTTTGCAGGGTGTTTGATGTGGGTAATGCCGTTGGAAGGTTGTATGCCGGATATTGAGTGTATGGGTTTATTGGGGTGTATGTCAGGGGATGGTAAGGCATAATCCTTTTCTGTTCTAGGCATCAGGGTATTGAGTGTAACGTTCTTGTGGAGGTGTGACATGAATGTACATGACTTTGTATGGCTCTGATACTCTGTTTGTATGCATGTAAATCTGTACATTATGAACTCTGTACGAGAATATATAAGTATTTTATATAAAATATATAAGTATTTCTATTTGTATGGTAGGTCATATTATATATTGAATGTTAACCGTCAACATTAACTTTGTGTGTGTGTGTAGGTGTGTTTGTGGGAACCAATGTCTTAGGTGTAGTTCTATTATTGGATGTAATATATATATATAGTTTATTTAGTGTCAAGTCAATTTGAGCATTATTTCAAGTATAATCCAGTCTGTTCTGTACGAACACATGTGCACATGCACGTATGTGTGTATATGCATGTGTATATATATATACACATTATATATATATGATTATAGGACTTACTCCTACGTGTTTTATAATGACTCCGACTGTTTGTTTGGGAGTCGGTATGTTTTTTTTTTTCCATAAACTGGTTGGGTTTATTCAGCAGTATTTTGTAATATCAATGTGTTAAAATGTATTTAGTTTTTTGAGTGTGTACTGACATTATCTGCCACGGTCTTTTGATCTGTTAATTGTCGGCTTGTGATTTTTCTTTTTGTGTATTATGTATATGTTTCTTTTAAATAAAATATAAAAAAAAATTAGGAAGCACCTTTTCTCGAACATTTCAAGCTAAGCTGCAGAAGTTTTTGGAAGTTATCAGAGCCATTCCAGGATAAACCAAAAACAAATAAATAAATAACTTTATTTCTATAAGGTATTGTACAATATATAATGGACACAGAATTAATTGACATGTATAAACTACTTTATATTCAGCATCTTGTTATGCAGAAAATTTCTTGCAGGTTTAATATTAACTTATAATCTACCTGGAGGTTATTCCGGAGATCAACGCCCCCGCGGCCCGGTCCACGACCAGGCCTCCCGGTGGATCAGGGCCTGATCAACCAGGCTGTTACTGCTGGCCGCACGCAGTCCAACGTACGAACCACAACCCGGTTGATCCGGCACTGACTTTAGGTATCTGTCCAGCTCTCTCTTGAAGGCAGCCAGGGGCTTATTGGTAATTCCCCTAATGCTTGGTGGGAGGCTGTTGAACAGTCTTGGGCCCCGGACACTTATGGTGTTTTCTCTTAGTGTACCAATGGCGCCCCTACTTTTAATTGGGGGTATTTTGCATCGCCTGCCCAGTCTTTTACTTTCGTAGGTAGTGATTTCTGTGTACAGATTCGGGACCATTCCTTCCAGGATGTTAATGTGCAGCAGTATTCCAGCCTAGAGAGAACAAGTGGCTTGGCATCTCTCGTTTTGAACGTTCTCATTATCCATCCTATCATTTTCTTTGCACTTGTGATCGTGGCACTGTTGTGATCCTGGAAAGTGAGATCTTCAGACATTACTACTCCCAAGTCCCTTACATTATATTTCCGCTCTATTGTATGGCCAGAGTTTGTAGTATACTCTGTTCTAGTTATTATCTCCTCCAGTTTTCCATAACGTAGTAGTTGGAATTTGTCCTCATTGGACATCATATTGTTTTCCGTTGCCCATTGGAAAACTTTGTTTATATCTTCTTGGAGCCACTGGACAATTTCACAAATTGGTAGGGAATTCCTAAATGGTTATAACTATGATCATAATTGTTAAAGGGATGGACCGGTAAGTCAGCGGAAGGCCTCGGTCAGATGACCAAAAGCTCCAATGGCAGGTCATCATCTGACTAAGAACCGCGTCAGGAAACACTTGTCCTGTTTCCTGACGAACCTTACCTAACCTAACCTATAAATAGGTTAGTTTATTAGATTGCTATGATCTGCAAAAATCTGTAACAGTTTTGGTTTGTGATTAATGAAATTTTGAGATTTTGTGTAACAGCTTGGTGTAACATTTGTATTGGTGAATACTGAGGTACAGCACATGTTCGGTTAACCAGACTGATGATTGTGAAAACATCACTATGAATGGGAATGGGTTCTACAGCTTTAGTTACCGTAAACTAGTGATGAAAATTTGAAGCCTGTTCAGGCCTTCTCGTGTTATGAGCGAAACGAAAATGAAGCATTATAGTAAGAAAAATCCTTGACAGCCACATCGGAGATACCTAATAATAGGCTTAACGTTAAGCTTTGTGGACGGGAATTGGCGAGTATGAGACCATCCTGGCGGCGTGAATCAGTAAATTATTGCAGTGTTCCCTTTTATTGTTTAAATACTTGACCTGACCTTCACCCATAGACATACATTACACAAGACAGTTTTTCTGTCATACCCCAATATGTATGATGGATAATTTTCCTGTTATATAAATCGAGTCCATAACGTAGGATGGTTATACTGTCATACGTATCACACAGGACACCTATTGTAAGTTTATTTAGGCACAGGTACACATAAGTACAATTATCATACATAGTGTAAATTATCTAGGATAACAAAAAAAGGTCATAGTGACTTATTTCCACTGGGGTCCTAATATTTTATAATTTCAGCCTTAAAAGTTAAAACAGCTAAGTAAGTCAACTGTGTGAAAAATCAGCTACAGTAAAAGAAGATATACTAGGAATAAGGTAAACTGAGTTATTTACATTAAGGAGAGGATCAGCTTACGATAATAGGTACTTACAAGTAATCACTGTCCCTTTCTGCAGCTTCGTTCATTAAGTCCCTCAAGGGAGGTTCCTTGACGCTGGTGAGGGGTTCTTGATCTAGGGAAGTGGATCTGTGCTCCAGTTCCCTGAATTAAGCCTGAATACTTTCCACCTCCCCCACATGCGATGTATAATCCTAGATTTAGCGCTCCCCCATGATTATAATAATTCGTTCATTAGGTACCTTTTAGCTCTCTTCCTGAACTGGCTCATGCTAAGACAGGCTTTGACATGCACAGGCAATCGGTTACACTTCTTATTGCTGTACAATAAAAGGTGTTCCAAGCCTGACCACCAACGGTAGGTACTACAAAATTGTGTTGACCTCCCTTGTACCATACTTGTTTTGGTTCCCAACCTTGACAAACTCATGTAACTTCCTGTAATACTTCATCATGCTGGATGGTTATCATGTAATAAATCAATATGCAGGATGATTATCCTGCCATATTCCAACACAGAATCGTATCCACATACATACACACTAAGCTTGTGGAAATACCCACTATCTTATGTTGACATAAGAAATCTGCTGAACTGCTTCTGGACTTCTCAGACCTGACTCATAGCAATGAGTTGCCGATCCAAACCAACCAGGCATTAATAACTATCCTTAATACTGCACTCTAACCATAAAATACCAATTCTGCCCAACAGGAAAAGTTTTGCAACATAGGAAAGGGAGAAAGATGGATAATAAGGATGTTTGAAAGAGGCGGGTGTATTAAGTGTGGAGGGGAATGTTGTGGTAGCTGTTGCGGTGGTGAGTAAACATCACATGACTGGAGGGCACCCCAGGCCGGCCACCCACACCCATCTTTGTCCTCTTCCAACCACTTATTACTGCCGCTGCGTCATTCACACACCACCACTATGAGGCTGCTGGTGCTCCTCGTCCCTCTGCTAGCAGGTAAGGTTCAAGTGTTAGGTGATCCATTAAGAATCTCCGGTGAAACAAAACTTCACTTGACGTAGTTCGTTGAATGACATGACGATTATCCTAATTGTCATTGTGGTGTCCTGCTTAGATAAACCTTCATATTCCTGGATCCTGTGAATGACGAGTTCCATATCAGATAAAAACCCGTATTTCTGAGGATGGTACCAATTTATCAGCCGGGTTTCATTTGTAGTTTAGTCACATACACCAACACGCAGTTAATTTGCAGTACCATTCATTCCAGTAGTGTCTGGTTCTAACTCTGGGAATTAAAATGCTTGCCAAACAGAATTGTGCAATAGCATCTAATTTAGATTATAACAAAATTTATATAGGGTAATTTACATTATTACAATTTTAAAAAATAAAATATAATATATATTTTGCACATCGTCTACATAATTTCTTTCTACATGCCATATATATACTACTAGTGCAGCAATGTTAAAAACAATGCAAACTCATTTTCTTCATTTGCTGTATTCCAGAGTTCACGTAATATGTAGTTACTTTAGGTAAATGGACACGTGCAGTGTTTTAGATATTTTATTGCAATAAAGTATCCAAAATCCAAAATGTTGTATGCATGTCCAGCTGCCCATATACCAAATTGTCAGTCAGCATTTTCATATCTTTAATGTATACTCTCGTATGCTATTACTGGCTTAGAATTTAACAAGTGTATTGTGCAGTAATGCATAAATTAACCTAGGATAATCCAACAAAGTCAAATACTGACTAATTTCCATTTTTGTCCTTGTTACATAAATTCTATCTAGCACAATAAATGTCACTGAAAATGCAGTATAAAATGAATACATCATTTACATACATGAAAATCAGTTACATGACTATATCCTTTACATAACTTTTTAGGTTGTAGTTTGTAAATATCAGTAAAACTTTATATTATTATAGTATATACAGCAGTTACAGATGCATAGTTAGGCCTGTGTACATAGTATTTTTGCTCTATCATTACTGACAATAAAAAGGAATAAATATACTTGTCAATGTTTTCCCCCCCTTTTGCAGTTTCACTCCAGTTCCCCAAATTAAGCCTGAATGCCTTCCACATCCCCCCCCGGTGCTGTATAATCCTATGGGTTTAGCGCTTCCCCTTGGTTATAATAATGCAGTTTCACTCATCAGGTATTCTTTTGCTTTATTCTTATGATCAGGTAAACCATTCCAGTCCCTTATCACTGTATAATTGAAGGTGTTTGAGGCCTGGTCACCTGCTGTGGGTACTACACAATTTTGAATGCAGATTAGTTTTGGCTTCTTTACTCTTATCTTCCACTTAAAACACATCCAGTTTCTGCAGTTCAACCTGTGTTGTTCTGGATCCCATGACATGATTGGGAAACTCGCTCCAACAGTTTATACCATAATAAGTAGCTGATGATGGTTAGCTGCATACTGTGGGAATGTCTGGTGAAAAAAATGTCAGTGATCTTACCAACATTACCAAGTCACCAGTTGGTCAGAAGTCTCAGATGTTTTCCATTGATGAAGAGTTCTTGTATATAAATTTAGTAAATATATTGCCAAGTACTAATCAAACACAACATAACCTAAACCTAAATTTTGTTGTATATTTTAAATTGGTGAGCCTGCCATCTGGATAACTCTCTGACTTCAACAGATGCTCACGGAAGGACCTACAAAATGCTCTGTCAAACTAACTTAGTCCCTAACATTGTAGGGTAGCTTTCAATAAGATAAGATTTTGTTCAAATTTTTAACCCCGGAGGATTGGCCACCCACGATAACGAAAGTCAGTGCATCATCGAGGACTGTCTGTCATATTTCCATTGGGGTCCTTAAATCTTGCCCCCCAGGCTGCAACTCACACCAGTCGACTAACACCCAGGTACCTACTTGCTTGATAGGTGAATGGGGACAACAGTTGTAAGGAAACACTCCCCATGTTTCCACCCTTACCGGGGATCAAACCACAAACACTCAGTATGTGAAGTGAGAGCATTGCCTACCAGGCCATGGGTTGAATGCATACATGAGTGGGTGTGGCTGGTACGAGTTGGATGTGCCTTACGTGGGCTAGTAGGCCCATTTTAGGCTGCATTATTCCTTCATTCTTGTGTTCTCTATATTTTTATTTGCCTGTGTTGCTTTTTTTTTTTTCCACATCTATCACAGACCTACATTCATTCAGTAGTAAGGAGAAGGGATTTACTTTCCTCATATGTTACTTCAATTTTCTTTCTCTAGTTTCATTTATTTTCTTCTCACTATTGATAGTTATTGCATGCATCTCTAAATGACCTTTGATGCTTTCTCTCCAACAAAGAAGAGTTTAACCCTTAAACGGTCCAAACAGATCGACGTTCAAATTCGTAGTGCTATCATGTGGGAGTTCGAACACGTGGATTGGGTAAAGTAATACTCACGTAGGCTGGTAGTACGTATAATTACAGATGTGGGGAGCGCCCTTACAGCCGTACCTTGTCTCTCTTGCTCACTCTCGTAAACTGACTGACCGCCCACAGTACCCATATGTGAGGGGGTCTTTGAATAGTGCTAGGTCAGCACAATATGAGTTCAGACAGTGACTCAGGCAGAGACGGTTGGCAGTGAGTCAACCACCGGTACACTGGTTACTGGTAACTGGTTACTACTACTGAGAGTGCTACAAAAGTAGATCTACTTTTTTTTTACATATTTTCAAATATAACAAAAAAAATAATGTAGATAAAATTTTTTTTTAAACGTTTTCAAATGTAAAATTCATTTTATGTTGCTACCAACAGTAACAAAACCTACAAGAGTTACAGAGACTAGTGTTTCCCTACTTGACCACATCTGGACCAACACCATATCCCCTTTAAAATCAGGCATAATTACAGATAATACCACAGACCACTACCCTACTTTCCTCATAACAACTCTTGGTAAACTACCCCAAGACACTACTAAAGTCACCTTCAGACTTCACAATGAGGCAGCCATTAATAACTTCACAACAGCAGTAGCAAACATTGACTGGCACACTGAGCTAGAAATCTATACAGATATTGACGAATGTATTAATAATTTTCTAAAAAAGACCCAATACCTCTATAATAAGCACTGCCCTAAAAAAACTAAACAGATGACAGCTAAGAGACTGAACAGTCCCTGGCTAACACCCAGCATTCTCAAATCCATAAATACAAAACACCAATATGAAAAACAGTACAGAATGGGTCACATAACCAGAGACCAAACAAAACGTTACTCATCAATCCTAACCAGCCTGATAAGAAGGGCAAAAAAAAATTTTATTATGAGAACAGATTATCCAACTTACAAGGTGATATAAAAAAGACCTGGAAAACCTATCAGAAATTCTGGGAACAAAAAGATATCACGAAATAGCGAAATAAAATTAGCAAAATCAGATGAACCTCAACTCCCACCAACAGAAAAAGCAAACAGACTCAATGATTTCTTCTCCACTATAGGACAAACCTTGCCAATAAAATCCCAAGCTCAGATACCCCACCAAATGACTACCTCACGGCAAAATACCCGAACACATGTTCCTAGCTCCGACTAACCATACGAAGTCTCCCTTATTATCAACGCACTAAAAAACAAGGCAGGAGATTTAAATACCTTACCACCCTTTATATACAAAAAAGTGTCACAAGTGCTATCACCAATCATTGCAACACTCTTTAACAAATCCATTGAATCCTCCAGCTTCCCTACAGTACTCAAAGTAGCAAGGGTCACCCCGATCCACAAAGGAGGAGACCAAACAGAGTTGAATATCTATAGGCCAATATCCAACTTACACCCTCTCTCAAAAATCTTCGAAAAATTAATTCATAAACGAATCTACTCCTATCTTATCTCCCAAAACATACTCAACCCCTGCCAATTTGGATTCAGGCCTAATAAAAATACTAATGATGCTATTGTACACATGCTAGAACATATATACACTGCAATAGAGAAAAAAGAAGTCCCACTGGGGATCTTCATTGACTTACGTAAAGCTTTTGATACAGTTGACCATGACTTGCTCCACGTAAAATTGTCACACTATGGTATAAGAGGGCACTCCCTCAACTACCTCAAGTCATACCTCAGCAACAGAAGCCAATATGTGTACGCAAATGGGGCAAACTCTTCTGCACACAACCAATTACAGTTGGTGTCCCACAGGGAAGTGTCCTTGGCCTCTTCTTTTCTCCTATACATAAATGACCTACAAATGCTTCGCAATTACTCAAACCCACACTATTTGCAGATGACACTACATACGTCTTCTCCCACCCGAGCCCAGTCACGCTAGCCAATACTGTAAATACCGAATTACAGAAAATATCTACCTGGATGAGGACTAACAAACTTACACTAAACATTGACAAAACCTACTTCATTCAGTTTGGTAACAGAGCTACAGATGTCCTCTTAACATAATGATAAACGGATCACCTATCACAAAGCTAACAGAGGGAAAATTCTTAGGAATCCACCTTGATAATAGACTCAAATTTCATACACATATACAATAAATTTCTAAAAAAATTTCCAAGACTGTAGGCATACTATCGAAGATACGGTACTATGCTCCACAGTCAGCCCTCCTGGCCCTATATCACTCACTTATTTACCCCTATCTCACCTATGGAATTTGTGCATGGGGCTCAACAACAATTAACCATCTCAGACCACTAATTACCCAACAAAAGGCTGCAGTTAGAATGATAACAAATTCTCACTACAGGCAGCACACTCCACCAATATTCAATACACTAAACCTACTCACCATACAAAACATCCATACTTATTACTGCACCTATTACATACATAGAACACTTAACTCTGATATTAACCCTCCCCTCAAACATCTCCTTGCCAACCTCAACAGAACACATGACCATAACACAAGGCAAAGATCACTCTTTGATGTTCCTCGTGTCCATCTCACACTATGCAAAAACTCAATGCACATA